TGCTGGAGCCCCTGGCCCTTTGGGGGGGGGACAGAGGTCCCTGCCTGTTTCCAAAGCCTGGAGAGGCGAATGGGTGTCTCAGAGGGGGGGGGGAATTAAAGGACTGCATCAAGACCCCAATGAAAAACCAGCCAACCCTACGAAAACCCCAAAGCAAAACCTCCTGACCCAACTTTATCCAGCAGGTAACAAAAGTCGTTGAGAAGCCATGAGAAAAATCACAGTCGCTCCGGGGCAGCTGAGGCTCACGCCTGGTGGGGAGGGTCTCAGGAGGACTCCCCCCTCCCAGGAGCCCCGCCGGCCTTCTCTGGGATGGCTCTGGGAATGGAGGAAGAGGGTTGCTGGGAGGGCCTTGAGGGCGGGCGGGCGGAGGGCAAGTGGGTGCGATCCGAACCAGGGACGGGCAGGCTGGCGCATGCAAGCGGCGTGCATTGCTCCAGCTGGGGAGGGTCGGCGGCCTGGATGCCAAGGCCAGGGACGCCGAGAGGGGCACAAGCGGGTCCTTCTTGCCAAGCAGCCAGTTTAAGCGCGGCAGGAGAGGAGGGCAGCCATCACCCGGCCTCCTGTGGCAGGCAGGGAAGCGAAGGCAGAGCGGGCGAGGGAGCGTGCCAAGCGGGACGTGACTCGCACTGGGGTCTGGGGTGCTGCGGGGGAAGGAGCCGAGCGTTTTCACGAAGGGGTGAGCCAGCAGCTGGCCAGACAAGCAGCCGAGGCCTTCTTCCCTCCAGGCGACCCTTGTGGTGGGGGTCCCGTCCCCTTGCAAAGCTGAACCCCGAGGAAGAGGATGCTGTGGCTGTTCCGTGGACAGCTGTGGCTGTGCCCTCAACGGTGGCTGCTTCTCCTCTGGAGAGCGGCAGCGGCCCCTTCCCTGCTCTCTGCAGCCAATTCTTTGAATTTTATGTTTAAGGACCGAGGTACCGGATCAAAGCGGGGACCTTTCCTGCCTCTTGCTCGGGACTCGGTGGGGGTGGTGGTGGGGGGTCGGTCTGGTCTGCTTTGGCCGTCTTCCCCTTTGGGGGAGCGACTGGGAAGGTCCTCGCCTGCTGCAGACCCCCACCAAGCTGTGGGACATCCAGTGGGGCTATTTTTGTTATTTTGGAAAGCCGGGGGGGGGGTCAAAGGAGTCGTTTCCACCCTACCTGGCACAAGAGTACATTGGCCGTTTCCCTGGAGGACCACCTTCCCCAACCTGGTGCCCTCCGAGCATGTCGGGCTTCCAATCCTCTCTCTGCAGGCCGGCAGGGAGCCCTCCGGGTCCGGGGCCAACCGTGGGGGCGCAATCCACGCTCAGCCGCCTCGTGCCTCCTTCTACCTGGCGCGGCCCTCCCGGCTGTTCTGACCCTGCTCTGGGGACGCTTCCTCGCGCCGCTGGGCTCTCCGCGGCCCACACGGATCCCCCCCCCGTGCGCTCGGACTGGGGGCAGGCTTCCCGGACCCCGTCGGCGCAGCCTCCTCCGGCCCCGGGCCGCTGCACGGACGGAGCCTCCGTCTGAAGGAAGAGGGGCTCGCCTCCCCGCGGGGAATGAGAAGCACGGGCTGCGTTTCTCCCGGCTTGTTGGGAGGCATCTTTGCACACAACCCCCCGCACATGAAGGTTAGGCGGCCTCGCTGCACAGTCCACGGCCTCCCCCCCCCCATTACGGGGAGAGGGTGGGCTCAAAAGTGGGAGGGGGCTGGCTTTGAGGAAAGCAGAGTTGGGCTTTTGCCTGTATTTCTAGCACTGGCTTTTATTTGGGGGGGGTGGGCTGGGCGGGGGAAGAGGAGGGATTCTGTCTCAGCGGGAAGAGGCTCCGACGGCTCCTTGCCAAAGCCGGCCCTTGGGAGCTCTGGGGTCTCAGGCTGCTCTTGTCTTCTCCTGGTCCAGCACAGACCAGGGGGCGCCTCAGCATCAGGAGTGGGCCGGGCTCCGCGGCCCCTCGTGGGATGCCTGCCGTCGGGACTTAGCCGTGGTGGCCCCGCTCCGGTCAGCCGAGGCCTCCGGGGCGCACTGGGGGCGTCACGCAGTGTTTGCACACACAGTTACGGCTGCAGCTGCTTAGCGGGAGGGGCTGGTCGGCCCCCCCACAGGCGGGGGGGGCCTGCGTGGGCCTCCTTGATTGGCAGGAGAGCAAAAGCATCTCCTGCGCCCCTCGGGGGGAGGGGAGCCAAGCGCCGGCGAGGGGGGCTCCCCGATCAAAAGGAGGCGTCCAGCCGTCCCAGTCCCGAAGGGAACTTCCTGCAGACGAGGGAGGGGGGAGAACAAAGGGGGGGTCTGCAGTCTTCGGGCCTCCACGGGGAGGAGGCCGGGCAGGCGGGTGGGCAGACGCGTCTCCTCTGGTCCCAGAAACAGCCGCGAAAGGGACGGAGACGCCGAGTCCACGGAACGTGGAGCGGAGAAAGCGCCTGCCACACGTGGGCGCGGGCCTTAGGCAGCCTGATGCACTTCCCTGGCCGTGGGATGAAAACGGGGGGGGGGGGGCGGCGGCTAGGGGCCATTCCGGGACAGAGCTTGAGGGGGGGCACCCTCGTTTGCTGCCCACCCCTTGCGCCAGCCCCGATGAACCAAGGCCGGCAGGGAGGAGGAAGGGTACGTGTTTCTTTGGGCCACCGAGACCCCCCCCAAAGAGGAGGGTTAGAGACCCCCCCTCTCTGGAGACGGGCAGAAACATCCTCCCGCTGAATACTTAAAAAACCTTTTGAAATCCAGGTGGGATTTGCTGTTTTTTAATGAGGGGTCCCGTGGACCCCCCCCCCCCGTTTGATCTTGCCTGCCTTTGGCATCAAAACGGAACGAGTCTTTGCTATTTGCATTTTCCTTCTTTGGCATCTACTCTTGGAGGGGGGGGGAACTACACAGCCCTTCCCCACAGGAGGGGCTCTCCCGGAGGGGGGAGAACCAGTGTGCTGGGTTGGGCCCATGGAGCAATCCTGAAAGATGGGAGGGGCAGAAAGGCCGGTGGTCAATCACGGCCCCTTTGGGACTCGTGAAGCCTGGAGGCAGCCCAGAACGGAGGACCCAGAGGGGCCCCTTTCAAAAGGCCGGGAGTCCTTGCACTCTTTCTGGCCAGGAAAGCCCCCTCTAGAAAAAGGGTCTTTCCTGACCCCATTTGTAAAAGTGGGATAAAAGGACTTTTTAAGAAGAGCCTGACAGCCGCTGGTCTGAAATGGTATAGGGTCTCCTGCTTGAGCAGCGGGTTGGACTAGATTAGAACAAGGGTAGTCAACCTTGGCTCTTTTATGACTCGTGGACTTCAACTCCCAGAATTCCTGAGCCAGCTGCTGGCTCAGGAATTCTGGGAGTTGAAGTCCACGAGTCATAAAAGAGCCAAGGTTGCCTACCCCTGGACTAGAAGACCTTAAGAGGTTCCTTTTAACTCTTGCTTATTCTGCAAAAGATGCCCAGGGCTGGGTGTGCGCAGCTGATGGGGGGCCGCACGAGGTCCCCGGTGGGGTTTGTGCTTTGTGAGAGGCTGTCTCAGGAAGCTGCCCCCAACACACCACAGTAGCCGGGGATGATGGGGATTGCAGCCTGACACAGTTGGAGAGCACCAGATGTGGGGCTGCCCCTGCATTTGCTTCGTTTAAAACGGTTTAATCACAGAATTTGTGGGTGCTTTAAAACGGGCCTTTTAAGTTGTAAACCCAAACAGGTTTTTCACGCTTTGCTAGGCGTCCCTGGGATGTTGGGTCTTCTTGAAATTTTGGAATTGGAGCATGGCTGCATTTCCTCCTTCTCCTGCCACTGGGAAGATTTAAAATGGGGTGGTGCCACCATGGTGGATGCCTGTTCAGGGAGGGGCCTGGCCCCTCCTCTCACTCTTCCCTAAGGGGGATCAATTCTGGGGGAATGGGGGGGGGGCTGAAAGGAATGGCAGAAAGGACTGGTGACTTCTGGGCTTTGCAGGTCAATGGATCGGGGACGCCTGAGGAGAGCAGCCCACCCCAGTTAAGCTGCCCCCCCCCGCTGGGATTTTCTTGGGCCTTCAAGCTGGCAGCCCCCTTGGGGGAAGAAACCCTGCGCTCGCCTTCCACGGAGCAGAAGCCTGGAAGGGCCCTTGGGAGGAAGCAGGTTTCTGTTGGCGATTTGTTTAAAATGGGGGGGGGGGAGCTGGCAAAGGCCAGGCATCTATGGGGGTGTGAGGGCCCCCCTCTTCTTCCCTCTAGCACCAGAAAATTTAGTGACCCTGCAAAGGAACTGGCTGGGCTGCCCTAGACGGAGGCTCCTGGTCTGGCCCTCGGAGGTATCTGGCGCCTGTCTCTTTCCCACAACCTGCTCCAGAGTCCCAGGCCCGGGAGCCCTCTGGGTCTGGGGAGTGGCCACAAGGGGGTGGGGGAGGAGGGGGCTCCTTCCAAGCACAGCCGCTCACCTGGCTCAGCCTCCCCCATCCCCCCAAGGAAGGCTAAGGGTTCCTTCCAGTCTGCTCTTCCCCATGAAAGACAATTTTGTGTGTGTGTGTGTGTGTGTGTGTGTGTGTGTGTGTGTGTCGAAGGGGGAAAGCAGCTACTCTGGTCAGGGCCTGTCCAGCAAGAATGGAAGACTTCACACGTTCCCGAGAAGCCAGTGCAATGTTGCCTTCTTTTGTGTTGTTCCTCCCCAAATCTTTAAAATTCAGAACATCTAAAAGGAACTTTAAAAAGATTCTGTCTCCCCCCCCCACATTCATTCAGTCACTAAAAACTCCCACAAGCATTGCAAGAAGGAGCCCCCAGGCCCTCCCTTCCCCCCCCAGCAAGATAGAGCTTCAGTCAACCGTAACTAAACAAAGTGGCTATAGATATAGATATATAGATATTTGTTCTTTTTTCCCCTTTTCAAATATATAGCTGATTAAAAAGATGCAAAAATGAGTGACTAGGACAGAGAGGGGGTGGGATCCTGCTGTTGGGCATCCTCTCCTTGGGATCACCAAACCTACAGAAATGCAGAGAGATTAAGAGACCCCCTTCGACGTGTCCCGCACCCCCAAAGCCAAACGAGGCCTCCCCCCTCCCCACGAAGGCTGGCCAAGCAGCAGCTGCCGGATCCACCCTTCGCCTCTCTTTGCGCCCCAAGCATGCTTCGATCCATGCGACATCGGTTCCCGCTCGCTCACTCGCGTGCCAGGGCACAGGCAACAGTCTGCTCTCCGTGGAGGTGCCTCTCCTGGTCTCCTCCTCCTCCTCCTGGCCCTGCTGGGTCCTTGTGGGGCAGGGCCAGGGTTGCGGGGGCGGGTGGGGGTAGGAACTGGGATGGATGGGGGCCCTACTGACCGCTGTTCCCACTTCTGCCCCTTGACCTCTTAGGAGCTCCTGCTGACCTTCACAGGGAGAATTCCTCCGGCAGCAGTCGCTTGGGTGCCAACGAAGCTCCCTGCGGCCAACGCACCGAGCCCCTCTCCCCAAAGCCCCCACTGGCCGAATGCAATGCAAGCAGCCGCAGCACCACAATGTACGAGTACTGCTGAGGCCCGGCTGGAGCCTTGCAACCCCAGCACAAGGACCCCCTTCCCGTCTTAACACTTCGCCCCTCTGACCTCCACTCGGGGCCCATGCCAGGCACTCCACATGGGCAGGACACACTACCAGGGTGTTCTCCAAGAGGGGAGCGCCTCTCCTTCCCCAGAACCGCCTGTCCTGCAGTGACTCTCTTGGGGAGGGGTGAGCTTCTGTGGTCCATGCCTGTTCCCGAGGGAGTCTGCACCAGGGTGCCCGGGGCCCTGTGGGGTGGGAGGGAGAGGAGGTGCCTGCCCACCTGCCGGCCCCCCGTCTTTCAGTGCAGCAGTCGGAGCAGGACAGGAAGAGCATCCGGTGGGCTCCTGTCTACTGGCCTAGCAGGAACGGCCCCGCCTGCCCCTGAGTGACACGGCCCCGGGAGGAGCCCGGGATGCCGGGATGGTCAACTGTCTGCCAGCTGCTTGAGTGCCCGCTCAATGTTCATGCGGTGCCCCACCCGCGTCACCCCCAGCTCCACAAAGTCCTCCTTGGTCAAGGCGGGCAGGTGGGTGCCCTCAATTTCATTGTCCTCAAATTTGTCTCGATGCTCCACCAGGTTAATGCTCTCCAGCCAGTCCCCCACGTCGTATTTGTTCCAGAGCTGGAGGGGCTTCTGCATGAAGGGCCGCGGGGGGTGGAGGGGATGCAGGGGGGGCCCCGGGGAAGGGGAGGGGGAGGGAGAGCGGCTCCGGGCACTGACGCTGCGCACCACGAAGCGTACCTCCTTGGGTTCGTGTGGGATGGAGAGGCTGGAAGATTTGAGGATGGTGGGCGGGGTGAGCCCGTAGGGCCGGACGGTGCTCAGGGGGTCTGTCCTATCCAGGGCAGGCTTTACCGGACTGGGAGTGCGGCGGGTCACAGGGTAGCGGCTGCCAGGACGCACGGTGTAGGTGGTGCCGGAGCTGCGCTGGGAAATGGTGCTTAGTTCTCCTAAACTACTGAAAAGTCTGTGAAGACAGAGAGAGACAGAGGGAAAAGCAGTGGTAAGAGAGGCGCCCAGACACAAAACAGCTGCACAGACACACACTCCCCACACAACCAGCAAGGCCACAGATTCTGCAGAACCCACAGGGGAGGCACCCCTGCCAAGCACCCCTCCCTGAGCTCCTCCACAGGGGTCCTTCTGGGCAGGCTTTCCCTCCCAGACACACGGCAGGCTGGTTGGGTGGCTGACACTACCCAGGAATTGACCCCCCCCAGCTTTCCAAAGCGAACATTAACCCCCTAAGGCCCCCTCAGTCTTTAATTCCCGAGGTCCACGACCTTTCCCTGCAGCAGAGGTGGAGCTGGGGGGGGGAGCAGGATCTCTGGGCAGAGAGAAATCTATCCTGGGGGGGGGGTTTGTCTAAAATGGTATAGGACTTCCTGCTTGAGCAGGGGGGTGGGCTAGAAGACCTCCAAGGTCCCTTCCAACTCTTGCCATTCTCTTAAGGCTCCTTGGCTCAGCTTCAGACGCGATGTCCCATGTGAGAATTCGCTTGCCTGGGGAGGGAGGACTGGCTACTTTCATGCTGGTGTTTTTCACCAACTCTGGAAACCCCCCAGGACTCTGGGAGACCGGCCGAAGCTTTGCTCAGAGTAGACCAAGGGGAAGCACTGGGAGAGTCAGCCTTTCTGAGAGAGGGGATTGTGTTCCTCAATGCGTAGACCAGGGGTCTCCAAACTTGGCCACTTTTAAGACGTGTGGGCTTCAACTCCCAGACCTGCTGGGATGCATTCTGGGAGTTGAAGTCCACAAGACTTAAAGTGGCCAGGAGACCCCTGACGTGGGCTATTTGCCTGTGGGAAACGAAAGGGGACTGAAAGCTACTTTGCACCTTTCTGTTAAACAGGGTGGTGGCCTCTGTAGCTGAAGTGTGTGTGTGGGGTGGGTGGGTGGGTGGGTGGAATTAAAGAGACTGCCTAGCTTGGAATCCCTGCAGAGGAGGGGGCAAAGGAGACCCAGCACTCTCCTCCCCCCCCCCCGCCCAATCCCTGGAGGGCTTATCTGGCAATTCTCAAGAGAGCGTGAATAAATCTGGTGAGAAGAGGTGAGGAGCAGCAAGGGAACTTCTCCTTCTGGCTCCTTTGCCTGACGAGTGTGGCGCTCAAAGTGAAACGGTTCAGCCCAAAGGCAAACTGGCTCTTTTCTTAGCCCCCCTTTCCCACCGTTGTGAGCACAAGCAATGAGTAAGGGGTCGGGGTTGTGTTTGGCCTGCGGCTTTTGCTGACCAGGGAGGTGACCTTTCAGATTCCATCTTTCTGGACCTTCCTTTGAACCAGGAAGCCTCTACTCATCGCCTGCACTGGAAAACCCCTTTTCTTCCCAGCCATCTTGCCTGGAACCCGTCTCCAGCGCGTAAGGGGAAAAAGATTAGTGGCCTGTCCCGTTTCTGGGGCCGGAGGGCTGAAAGGCAGAGGGGCAGGCAGGACTTGGGCAGCTGACACTGCTCAAGGCCCCTGGAGAACAATTAACCAGTGGAACGGCTTGCCTCCAGAAATTGTGGGTGCTCCATCCCTGGAGGCCTTTAAGAAAAGACTGGCAGCCATTTGTCTGAAAGGATATGTTTCCTGTTTCAGCAGGGGGTTGGACTAGAAGACCTCCAAGGTCCCTTCCAGCTCTATTCTGAATTGAACGTTTGAATTCTGTGAGCTGACATAGAAAAGGCCTAGTGGTTGGCAACTGCCCTGGTGCTTCCGGTCCCTGGTGAGAAGGTGGCACTGCCACCCAAGGGTAGATGGGAACTGCCTAAGAAGATGCACCGAAGGAGACTTGAGCAGGTGGGAGGAAGCCCACCTGGCTCCGGAATCTTCTCTTGCACATGAACAGCAGCAGCCAAGCAGAATCTTGAGGACTAGGACCCTCAAGTGTGGATGAACGACCTGGACTGAGGCCTTAGGGAGACAGCAGAGTTGTGTCCCTGATGTCTGACAGGATGTTTACAAAAATGTCGTGGACTTTGCTCCGTTTGCCTGCCCTGGACACCGGCTTCTCTTCATGTGCAGGAAGGACGCAGGATGAAGTGACTAGCAACAGCTTCTAAGGAACTGGGCTGCCCAGGATGGGGACACGGGCATCTCCTCCTCCTCCTCCTCCTCCTCCTGATGAACTGCACCCTGTGCATTTTGTCCTGGCAATGAAACCAAGCTCTTCATGAGACCAGCTTTCCTCTTGATCAACAAGTGACCTTCAGACATGACGGTGGCCTCCAGTTTTCCAAACTTTATAAAAAGCGACAGTCCTAGAGGAGAAGCATCACGGCCACTCGTCTTCAAAAAACCCTGATGTGTGGCACTGGGGGACAGGAGGATGGGCTACTACCGAGGCAATGGTCAGATAAAAGAAACCCGAGTCCTGGGCCGACCTGGGGTGTCTCAGACAAGACACTCCTCAATTCTCATGGAGATAAAGGACGTGGGGACGCACCTTCATACTTGCAAGTTTCTGTCACTATAACCTTAGAATAAAAGTATTATCAGCATTCACGATTTGGTTTCCTACTTTGGCCTGCCTTGAACTTCCTGACAGCTGCTGGAAGAGGTCAGTGTGGACTTCCAGGGTGGGAGCTTGTGAGCCTCTGAGATGCCTCTGGTTTGACACGGGATGACACCGTCTGATGACCGGTCTGCCACCTGGCCGGCTGCATCTTATCTGGCTCTGCAGGTTCCACAAGGCAAAAGACCCCAGTGGGCCGGGACGAGGCCCAAAGGCCCAGGTCTTCTGCCCCATCCCTTTCCTGCGGCAAGCAGAAGCTGGAGGTGGCCCAGCCTTGTCCCCCAGCCAGAAAACAAGAGCGTTGCATATGGAAATCTTCAGCACTTTTGGCTCAGGGTGTTTTCATAATCTTCAAATGAATTAGTCCATTGTCATCAACGACAGAGAGACAATTGTGCCCCCCTATAATAGATTGAGTGAGATCTATCTCTGCTTCAAGGACTTTGCGTTAAAATATTGGTGCTTTTGCCTGGAAAGCCAAATGAAAAAATACGTCGCTTTCCACAACACGAAAAGTCAGGAAAGGAGAAATGGCAATGTTGAGAGGAGGGTCTTCAGGAAGCTATGCCAGATGCCTTCAAGAGGAAAGGCTCTTTAGCTGGCAGTCCCATTAGCAGACATTTCAGGGCCTGCCAACAGCTCTGGAGGATGCTCAAGAAGGGATTCATTGGTTGGCTTCTCTCCCTGGACCACGAAGAGCGACCCAGGTCCATGGCAGAGCAAAGGATGCCTTCCCTGGGCGGCAGTCCTTCAATGAACGTGGTCAAGATGGCTCTTTGTTCTTCAACAGGCACCGAAGGCGTCTCACCTGGGGAAGACCTGGCAGGCCAGGCGGGGGGCCCAGGCGTTGGACTCTGGTTGGCTTGGGATGGATGCCGGTGTGTGTCTTGCAGCTGAGTGGGGTCCGTTTCTTACCAAAGCTTCCTTCCATCTGCGCCTGGGTCTTTCGTTACTCAGGCTGGGAGCCACGGCATAAGGCTGACCCCGTTTTGAAGACTGCTCTGCAGAACCAGCCATTCTTAGTTGGCCGGGCAGAGACACTCTTGGCCCTCTTGATGGCAAGGGCCATTTCCAAGAGCCCCAGGTTTGCTTGGAGGAGAAAAGCCTTGTCAATCATGGCAAAGACTGAGGTTTGGCTAAGCAGTGGTCAAGCAGAATGAAGAGAAGCACGAAGCGAAAACCCTCTGCGTACTGGAGGTGTTGGTGAACTGAGGTCCTACAAGGGCTCCTCCTGACCTGCTCACTCCCAAATAATTCCTGGCAGTGAAGGTGGGGGCTTGGCCCAGTTCTTCCCCAGGATCACCATCTTCCCCCGACAGCTTTGCAATCCAGGAAAATCACAGCAATCTGGAAGGAGTCAAATGAAAGGCAGGTCTTTGTCGTAAACCAAACAGCTGTCTGTGACCTCTCCACCAGATGACCCTCACCACAGCGTGACCAGTCGGTCACGTGACCAGCTGACCACGTAAGACCTTTAAAAGCAGAAGAAATAAAGACACTTCAACCGGTGTTCCAGCGATGATGTTACCTAGCCTGGTGACAAAACGTTCGGAAACTGAGCAACAAGCTTGGAGAACAAAACGCCACCAGCAGCAGCAGCTGTCTCTTTTGAAGGCTTCTCCCTCTGTTGACACTGAGAAAGAAGGATCCGTCTCAAGATGGCTTTCTAATATAGGGCAGACTGAGAACTTAGGAACATCTTCAGCTGAATGTAGAACCCCAAAGGACTTCCTCCCCTTGTCCTCCCTGCTGAATCCTGAACTGCATTTCTTCTCCGTGACGAAGGACATCGTCAACAACAGAGGCAAAAGTGGAGGTCTCTTCTGTGGCTGAATATCCCATATGGACACCAGGGTATTTCAGATGATGCTCGGCTCTAGAGGAGATATATTTGGAACACAACTGGCGGTAGAAATATCCTCATTCACAATATGGGCCATGTTTTACAAAGACAGACCAGACCAGACCAGACCAGACACTAAGGCTGCCAGGAACTCCGATGCCTGCTCTATATTGTTCAAGAAAAATATTTGTTTTTTGAAGGTTTCAAGAAAAGATTTGACAACTTTGTCTAAGATGAGATAAGCTGTCCTGCCGTGGGCAGGGGTTGGATTAGAAGACCCCCAAGGCCCCTCACAAAATGTCACACCTGTCTGACTGTGGCCATTTACTACCTCACCTTCACACTCAGTGGCCTCCAGCTAAGCCACAGGTGACTGTGGTGGTGCTTTGCGCATCTCCCTTGTTTCCTCAAGACCAAAGCTTCTTCTCAGCTGGTCTGTTCGGAAACGCAAGAAGATGAAGCAGCAGCACATGAGAAGACACGGCCCAAGGTCTGGCCAAGCTCAGGTCTACTCTAGTAGAGTCACTGGGTGGAGACCAAACATCGTTCCAAGATCACACATTGAGTAGATGAGCTGACAGAGGAGAAAGCTCATGTTCACAATGGATGAACGAGATCTGGTGTGTGTG